TTTTTATCTTTAACCTAAAAATTCTCTTGGGAGTCAAAAACACTTCTTTACACGTTTAAGGAACATAGAGCATCCAGAATAGCTATCCTTCTACATATTCAGCAAGGGCTTTCAGATCTCCTCCAATTGTTTCTTTTTCTATCGTCTTCGCCCTTCTTTAAGTTTCTCGGGGTATTCCTCTCGTTACGGATCTCTTTGGGAGGCGTAAAACATCCATCCATTCTTCGCCATTCTCAGGTAGTCAAGGAAACCCGTACAAATATCACCCGTACCTCTATTTCAAACAATAGTCGTGGACCTAGCACACAATAGCCGAATCAGGGACTTACCCCTTGGGTTTATGTTAACTTATATACCGCTAAGTAGAGGTAAACCGTCCAGTGCTTTACCTTTGCTATCGTCAGGTACAGTCTCTGGCATTGGCGGTTGTACCTGTACTGTACCGTCGGTGATTCTCCCACTTGAAGCCATGTTTAACATTCACCATTCGCTACGTTTCGTTACAAGAGGACCGTCTTTCTGTGCCGCCGGCGCCGCAACTCAGTATAGTTCGTGCCGCACTAACACTGTAATGGACTTTGACGAATCACTGCCACTTTTAGTGGAAATTCTGCTCGCAACCACTTTAATAACCTGCTTCTCTTTGGAGATTCACTAATGTATGGTCGAGCGCGGAACTAGATTTTTTATGTATAACCTTTTCACATCATAGGCATAGGACGCTAGTTCCAGCCCGGAACTGTTTTACACATTATTCAGGCTAGTCTTAGTAGGTTTCGGCATTATCACATGGATAAAATCCATTTGTGGTAGGCGGGATTTGAACCCGGTATCTCGAGCTCCGAAGCCCCGTGCTCTACCATGGATCTACCACTAGACCAGCTCGCTCTCCATGGTACTCAAGGCAAAGGACCTTATGCTAAACGTAAAGCCGGGTTTACACTATGTAGCAAAACCTCGTAACATCTAGCAATGTTATATAACATATGCTAGAAGTAGAACAAGTTAGGTTTTCGTACGTCAAATGCGAGGTAACTCTGAAAACGGGATAAGATAAGACAACAACACTTTTTCCCACCAATAGTGGTGTGACCGGTTATCAAATTGTGCCTTCCAAAACAGGCTACTATGCGAAGCTATCAAGCTATAAAACAACTATGCGGTAAAACATAACCTATAAATAAGCCTAGGAGTGATCTTTGATAAGCAACAAAACCACGATGCATAACGTTTAAATACCTTATCAACTTACTATGTTATTAGGATCGTCCGTCGTGAAATATAGCGTACAATAGTGTTCTGAAAAGTGTTCATTGAGAAAATAGGATTGTAAGTGTAGTGAGCTTATCAGCGTGGCGCGCGGTGCTGCAGTATTAGTGTTATCAGTATCTCGCCAAGACCGCGACTCTGTGATAACAGCGGCTGTTAGCAGCTTATTGTCCTGTGTATGATAACAGCACCGCGGCCTCAGTACGGGAAACTAAACTAACAACAATCGCCTTTTGTTGTAGCTATTGACTCTATAACACAATTTAAGTTACAGAATCTCAGCATCCTTCATTATCAAACCAAGGTGCATCAGTGCTTGCAGTAAATTTGAGTAATTATTCACATTGAAGCTGAGTCCCACCAAAGCACGAAACTGAAGTTATCAAACATATTTTCAACGTGTCACATCAAGGGTGTACTAAGCCGAAATGACAATCAAAGCTATCAATCAACTTCTGTTGTGTTTTCACAAAGCATAATCAATGTTCAAAAACAAGTGAGAACTCGAGAGCGAGAATGTGTTTAGGTTTGAATACATAGTTAATGGGAAGACAAATTTTAACAGGCTCGTTCAATCCTTGAGCTCAATTTTGTGTTTGTGTCTTGTAATAAATTAAGGCGTCTAACTTTAACTGAAAAGCGAAAGGATTAAATTTGACTTAATTTGTTCCGTGGTAAAATACACAAAATAAACAGAGAAATTGTTATGCCACACTTTATGTACTCTTATGGACTCAATATGCCACAGTAAAGCTTGACTAAGACAACTAGTTAATAATCGACTATAAATTTGCATTGTTATCATTCCACGACTTGTCTTTATAATGAGCACAGTAAACGGTTCGGATATTGTGGAGTAATTTTTAAAATGCTGTCCAGAAAAAAAACCAGACAATTACAGTAGGAGTTAAAGCATGTATTCGAAAAATAAGTATATATAGGTAACTTAGTTTAACTGAGCTACGGACATAGTGTTGCGGTACTATTTTAAAACATCTTTATCATATACACAACATGTTTATTGTTTAGGTCAACTCGTTGTAAAGTACAGCATGTTTTCAAACACGTGTTTTGAAAAACTTAAATACTTGATAACTCAAAGAAGATATCGCAATGAGAGTCTCGTCCTACTATGCTATCTCTGACTACTGTTAGTGGGAGACCTATACAGTCTTCATGGTATGGTGTTGGGTGTTGCACATAAAGTGAAGATCTATTTTGAGTTGATGTACGTAGTCGATGGCAGCTGCAATGCCTTGACCTAGTGGCTCTGGTGACGTCACGGTGACTCATCACCCCCGGTATCCTGGTCTTCCTCTGTACAGTCCACGCCATCACTGACCGGGACTGTACCGCTGAACTCTGGATCATCATTTTTTAATTTGTTGGTTATTGTTTTTTCGACTTCATATGCGTCTTCAGTTTGAGATAGCTACCAAACGTTTCGCCCTTATTATGACGAGGTGTCCTCAGTGGCTGGGCTCACGGTTGACGTAGAAACCACTGTGGTTCTCTAGACTGTATATTTATCGGATTCGTCGAGTGGAGTTTTTACAAGCATTTTATTCAGATCAAGATCTTTATGGATTTTCAAATCTTCTGCATCTTCATCTACATAATGTATTTGTGGTAGAGTATAGATCACTTTGTTATTATTCCGAACGCTTTACACGATAATGAGTGTAGTAGACGAAGATGAGTGGATGACTTGTGTGCTCTAAGGTATATTGTGGACATATACAAGCTAGTTTTTAAGCAGAACAGAAAAGTCCATTGATAAATTTCCGATATAATCACATTTGGGTACGTATTATACCGACCACACCTAAAAATTGACTTCCAAAAGATTTTAATTCGTTTGAATAACAAAATCTTCCTAACCTAACCTAACCACAAAATATAGTTTAAAGTTAAAGAAATAGCTGGAAATAAATGCCAAATGGTATCCATCTAGCTGCATTCTACATTTAACAGATGGAAATTTAACTCTTTAGTTCAACGAAGTGAGTGTCTTAGTGTTTTGTCTAGTTACTGTGTAATGTATGCATATACAGTAGGGTACTAGGTCATGAACAGTGCGCCGATGACATTCACAGTGTTGTATTGAAGGACCAAGAACACCGGCTCGACTACTTTCACTCTCTTCGTCCTCTCATAAACAATACTGATCGTTTGTGTACTAAAATATATATTTTTATCTAAAGGATCTCTTTATGTGTTCAACCTTCTTAAATACAGTAGTGAAGAAAATATCTTTAGCCTTTGCATTACATCGAAGAAAATCTTTACTGATAAAAGAGTTTTGCTTGCTTACATCTTTAACCAGTTAATTGCTTCCTACCTAGAGTTGTGCCTTCTTAATAATTTTAAAAGATGGCTTAGCGTCGCTTTAGGTAGGAGAAATAGTATATTTACTGATAAAAGTGAGTTTTATCTCACTTTTAGGTACATTTTACATAAGTAACTTGTAAACGGTGATATCATTTTTTCAAAAGTTTAATCCACTAGCGTTGTATAGTACATTATAACTATTTTTGAGCAATAGGCATTTGATATTACAAATACTTATAAGCTCTCACAGCAAACAAACATAAAATAGGTAAAACAAAAAATGTTAGCTCAACAATGGATTGAACAATTGTGTTTCCCCATGAAGTTGAATGTATTGATTGAGAGCAGCTGAGTTAAGTGGTATTGTTGGGATCCCCAGTATGGCAATGGCTCAATCATATGATTCACATGGCTTTCCTAGTATCAAGACTTGGTTGAAGAATTAATAACGAATTCTATATTGATTGTGTTATAGTGCCAAGCACTTAGGTTAGCATTTCTAGACAATATTATTAAGAGTCTTATAATTTTCCAAGATGATTAAATTATGTGGGGAAGATTTTCAAAACTTTTAGTCTGTAATTGGTCATGGTTTTATTTGGTTAAATCAGTGTTATTAGATTATGCAATTTAAGAATACTCTAATAGTTTAGTTAATATTAGACACTTAAATACTAGTAAATCATTCATATGTCTAACAAAGTTAATAAAAAATGTATATCACTTGCTCCAACACAATTTGTAATCAGTATTAGTACAAAAGAAAACTAATAATTTTACACCTGCAAACCTTCCAGTTGGTTCATTGTTATGTGTATGTTTTCAACCCTAGCCCTACAGCTTTTAAGTTTCAATCCTGAGAAAAATCAATGCTTTTTGATGGCTCCAAACTCAGCCCAGCTGACCTTTAGTACATTTTTCTATCCAAAGAAACAGCTGTTCTTAGTCAGTGACAAAGCTACATGAGGCATTCATTGTACGATCATCCTTCGCTCGTTTTAGGGTTGAAATACCCCAGGGTACCTTCATTTTAGTTTTTAATAATAACAGAGAAGTAAGGTACAGAGGAAACATTCAACACTTAACTGGTGTCTAGCACCAGTTGTGATATCACATATATTTTGATTTGTGTATATCACTAGTCGCTGGTGTCTAGGGCAAAATCCAACCCCTTCACCCTCACGTACTACAACTATCACAGTGGAGAATGACGCTGTGCCCTGTGCGATAGGTGCTTTCACACAGTGCTCGCTGCAGGGGCTCTCCGTTGCTCATCACAAGTATATTTCTGGCATAACATACTACAGATCAATGCATATGATTGTACCATAAACCTGTTTCCTTGTACCTTACTGATCAGTTCTCTGAGGTAATAATGACATGTTGTATGTGTGTTGCAGGCCAGTACAATAGACGGTCGCAGGAAGGGAGCTTGTCTGTTCTGCCAGGAGTACTTCATGGACCTCTACCTGCTGGCAGAGCTCAAGACCATCAGTCTCAAAGTGACCACAGTGGACATGCAGAAACCTCCGCCGGACTTTAGGTGAGACAGGTCTAGTCACTCCACCATCATCACTTAATAATTGAGACCCCAACAGTATATTTGAATGCAAAGCAAAACGATGAATAAGAAATAAAACCGCAGTGTTAAGCAATTTAAAATGAAAGTAAAAATTATAGATTGGTTTATGAATAGACTTTACAGTTAAACAAAACATTTACAATATTTACTTTGTTTTCATAAGTAGTCATCAATGTTGCAGCCAAGTTCATCTTTAAAATAAATCAATAGTTGTGGTATTTTATTTCTTTAAAATAATCATGTGCAACAAAATAATCATATTTTTTTATGTATGATTTTTCCCGTTCATAATGTGTCAAAATATAAAGAGAAACTCGGAAGTATGGTCAAGAGTAGGGTAATAAAGATGCTTGAAGCTCATTATTTTTTTTTATTGTTGTATATATAGTATATATAGACTAATATAGTTAATGATGTACCTGATTGCGCCTATGTCTTTACTTCATGTCTAGCCTATGTGCTACTTGTTTCCGTAAGACGTTTTAATCAAAACAGGTTTAATTTAAACAGCCTTCTTCCAAGGCTAAACTATGTACATGTTACATCACATTTTCCTTGCATGACTATTGTGTCTGTGGGAAGTTGATCTTCGCTATTTTCTATGACGTAGGTTGTAAAATATAGTTTTTTAATTAACTAGTGTATTGCTAGCTCTACCTTGTCCTGCAACCATAGTAAGATACAAAAATAAAACCAGATGCAGAATGTTATTAATTGGATTTTTATAGCCAATTTGTCCCCTTTAGCTGTTTATATCCTTTGAGCCTAGGGATTCTTTATCAGTTTAGTTATGCATATTTTCCTCATCTTATAAAGTCACAAACCCTATCAAGCATTTGGTGGACACATGCAGTATAGAAAAGTAAAAAGATGCTGATAAGTTGTGGAACACAAAAACAATCCACCCATCTCATCGACTATCCCGAGCTATCTTGCACCAGGTGGCCCTCTCCTACCAATCTTTGCCACGGAGACGGGTGAACTCCTCATTAATTGCACAGGCCTGACAGAGACAGTTCAAACCCTCAATCAGCATTGCCTCTCCTGGCTGTAGACGTCTTGGACCTAACAGTCCGCAATTACAACGCTGGAAAACCCAAAGTACCAGGTTTACCTGTTGAAAATCAGGTTTTTACCCTCGTTACTCAAATTTATCAATCTTTGGGGCTCAAATAGTTAAGCTTATTGCTTACCAGATAGCTTAGCTTAGGCTAGGGTCAAACTTGGCAACTTTGTCGCGGCGACAAGTGCGGCACCGGCGACCGAAAAATAAACATGACCCGGAGCGTCTTTTGGTCCCGGCAAAAAATACGCTCCCCATATTATCTTACGGCTTAATCTGGCACTAGTTGATTGTACTTGTCATTACATTGAAAAAATAGATAAAGTATTTATTTAGTTTTGATAGCCATGTGATTCTATTTTCTTTTTATTATAAAAGAACAACTTCTATAACCTCTAAACTGGTGTTGCTAAACAAACTGGCTGTTTTAGTCCTAGACAGCCTATGGATCCAAGGGGTTAAAAGCCGTGTTGACACGAGCAGGCATTTTATGGGGCAGGTTACTTGCCTCTAATGTATTTCAAGTTACCTGAGGCAAGTAACTTGCCCGCCAACTAGCCTCGTGTAAACGCGGCTTTAGTCCATAGTCCCAAGAAAAGTATTGTTCACCAGTGCAGCTACCGGAGCAACAAATAATTTTCTTTTTGCCATACTACACTGTTTTAAAGACTTTTCACACATGAAATTGGTCCAGAGAACAGCTGTTTGCTGCCTGATTAATCAAATGGTTTCATTACGTACTACTGCACTGTAATGAATTTTTAATAGACACCAGCTGATTATAATTGGCAAAAACTCAACCAATCAATAAATGAAAACATGAACCTCTCTTAGAAGTTATGAGTAGTGATTATTGGGTCCTTTAGTCAGTGGGAATATATATAACGGATGTGTATAGTTTTTCTTATTGTTAGGTTAGTAGTAGTTTGGCAAAAAATATTGTTCGTCACTCATCGAAAATGATTGAATGAATGAATGAATGAAATATACGTTTATTTCCACATAATGTATACAGAAAGAAACATACTTTTTAATACAAAATATAATCACAATTACCAAATATAAACTAAGGCTAAGAATAAAAAAGAACATTTCTGTATTAATTAATTTGACGATTTTATGAAATTCAGCAGACATAGGCAGGTGCTGCCTGTGCGTCTGCTGGGTTGCTATTTAATAATTGTGTAATTTAATAAATATGTTTACCGGAGTAGTAACGTAACATACCATTTATATAACAAATACTACCATAACAGTACAAGGTTTCTCTTAACATTGCTGTTAATTTCATAAAAAAATTTCATGCTCAGTCAAAATTTACACATTTTATTCATGTTTACATGTTTGATCCTTGTGAATAAAAGTATTTAAACATCGGTACCAAATTAACACACATGTTTTGGATAAACCACAGTATTGACTTTTTTGTATTTGTATTTATAATATCACAGAAAATTACTTGTTGTTATTGGTTTCTGTTGCCTCTTTAGCGAGAACTCAGTCGAGCGGCAGAAATAAAAGACAGGCTAACCCTTTGTTTATCATAGGCGATCTAGAACTGGAGTAATAAACTATCTTAATAGAAACTTAGAATTTGGTTAGGAATCAACCAGTTCTTGCCAACAAATTTCTCTTTTATTTATAAATATCTTTATTTTTAAATTTTTATAGAGATTGTATATGATTGACAGAACAAATTTTGAAGCAACACCTCCACCCATTCTGATTGACAACGGGTTGGCAGTTCTGGAGAACGAGAAGATTGAACGACACATAATGAAGAACGTCCCTGGCGGACATAATCTGTTTGTGCAGGACAAGGAAGTCGCAACACTCATTGAGAATCTGTACAGTGTAAGTAAAAGTACATTTGGATACTAAAGTAGACGTCCCATCTATATGGACCAGATGTGGCTGTAGCAATCTCATCATTTAAATACATAAATTTTTATGAACATGAATTCGAGTGGCTCACCCTTGATTGCACTTTTCTCGAAATTTGGTTTCCTCCTTTATTTTTTGGTACTGATCTGTGATTTTTCATGTGTTACAAAATAGGCTTTAGTTTAGAATAAGTTATCCTTTAACATCGGTTAATTCAAATGTTCACGTATTGGTAGAAATCAAGAATTGATTTCCACCCAATGATACTGGATATAGATTTAATAATTAATAGGGATTGGAATGTATCCCACTATCAAAATTTAAAGACAACTGCAGTGGTATTTTTATTGGTTTTTATTTTCTGTTGACTAGGAAAATAGGGGCTTGTGTTTTGTTGTTGTAATCTTTCAGAAATAAACACATCCATTCAATCAAAATTCAATGTTTTTGAATGGCATTTCTAAGGGTTCCGTGTAAATAATTGAGCATTAAAAGTGATTTGGCTGTTTAATCTGCTACCGTAAATAAGTTTTAGCAACAATATTTTGGTGATAGTCATAAAGACTCTAGATAGATGCGCCTTCAAAACTATTATAATCATACTAGCAGCTGGGGTCAGTATGAAATGAGACCATGCAGGTTCTTTTGAGTCCACTGCCTGCAGCGGGACCGTCCACGTCGTGTGATAGTCCTATCAATGTCAATTAAATGTTTGTTTTGTAACCCCGGCGATGCTTATTTACTGCGAAACGTGTAGGTTGTTATCCTGATATCTCAAATTTGGATAACTTGACTAGGTATTGTATTGTAATTATTATATGTATTCAGAAATCAGAAATCTTAATTCACCATTGATCATATTACATGAAATAGGCTTCGTCATACAATATAGGCTAAATCTATCATAATACTAAGGAAAAGAAAATCTACACATATAACAATCATAAACCTATATAGGTCCAAATACTACTGACAATAACAACATTTCTTGGCCAATTCTGTCTACAAGTGTTAATCTAGGATCACAGGACAGTCTAAAAACTCAGTTAAACAATAAAACGGATTTTTTAATAGCCAATCGTACATTTTCTTCTTGAAAACATTGACTGGTGCAGTTCTAGCATATGAAGGAAGTTTATTGAAAAATCTAATGCAGTTAATTTTGTGAGATGACCCAGTTTTGGCTAATCTGTTCATTGGGATATCAAGTCTCACCTTCCCTCTTGTGTCGTGGTTGTGTATGCTCTCTCTTGTGACAAATTCTTGTAAGTTCATTTTGATGTGCATTAATGAGCAGAAAATATACAAATTTACAACAGTGAGAATTTTAAGTTTAATAAATAATGGACGACAGTGTTCCACAAGGCTCGCCCTACACATATTGTGAATTACTTTCTTTTGAATCAATAAAATATCATTTGTTTGTGAGGAATGGCCCCATAAGAGGAGACCGTAGGTTATGTGTGATTCCAGAAGACCAAAATAAGCCATTCTAAGGTACTCGCCAGAAACAAAATCACTTAGTTTCCAGATAAGATAGCTAACCCTGGATATTTTTTTACATACATGTTCTATATGGGATCCCCAGTTTAATTTTGAATCAATATATATCCCCAAAAGTTTTACGGCTTTATTTTCTAAATCTCTGTTTAAACTTAAAGTAATAGTTTGAGTTTTTGTTTCATTACAAAACAGTTTATTGTCTGAGAACCAGGCAACTGCATTACTAAGGGAAGACTCAGCCAGGGTGTTTAAAATTTCAATTTTTCTATGTCTACAGAGAATTGTTGTGTCATCTGCATAGCAAATAACAGAGTTTGACACAACATTTGCTGGCAGGTCATTAATTGCGATGATAAAGAAAAATGGTCCTAGAACTGAGCCTTGCGGAACACCTATCCCTACATCTCTCAAAACTGAATTATTGTTTTTGAATGACACAAACTGCTTCCGATTGGTCAAGTAAGACTCAATTAATTTCAAAGGTTCACCACTAATTCCATAAAATTTTAGTTTCATCAATAAAATTTCAAATGGAATGCAGTCAAATGCTTTGCTTAGATCACAAAGAGAGAGCATGACAGAATTTTTCATTTCGAAGGCGTCTAAGGTTTCATTTACAATTTTCAGAACTGCAGTTGTTGTATTTTTGCCTTTCCTGAATCCAAATTGGCTACTTGTAATAAGATTATTTCTACAGTACAAGTCTTTTTGAAAGGTTACTTTTATAACATAATATTCTTTAATATTTATGTTATTGTATCCAGAGCTGGTAGGCCTATGCATAATATGTGAGCAACCAAAAATGTAAAAGGCATATTTGTAAGATATGTAGCTTCAGTTCGTTAGAATTAGAATACTGTACACTTAAAATAGCTGTAATATTTTTCACAGCCACATAGCTCAGTGTCTTTGGCTGCTATGGTTGATTGGCTTACATTTCTAGTTCTAGCCTGCACTATCTTATCTCTGGAGTCACCACTGGCTTGCCTAAGTGACTTACAATGTCCTAACATCACCTAGATGTTCTAGTGACAAGCATTTAGATTGGAAACTTGCAACGGTTATCTGAAAAAGTGTAATCATATAGTAACAGTAGTTAAACCTTTGATTTAAACTGAAATCAAGTGATTGTTAGTTTAGAAATTATTGCTGCTTAGAGTATAGGAAAGTGCAGGCTGCTTTATTCAAATAAAATATTTTAAAAACTCTGTTCCTCCAGACGTCATCCAGTTTTAGTATTGGAAAGGGTGTTTCTCCCAATAGAGAACAACATTTGTTCAATAGATGGACAAATGTTTCAGACATCTATGCAATTTTAATATAGGAAAGTGTACTTCCTCCAGAGCAAAAAAACTATTTCATGGAGTTCTTAATGCTGATAGTTGAAATGTCTAATGGGATGTATTGTTTTGACAGAAATTGAAACTAATGCTGCTGAAGAAGGACGACACGAGCACCAACAGTCTGCTGTCCCACCTGCGCAAGATCAACGACCATCTGGGACAGAAGGCCACGAGGTTCCTCACGGGGGACACCATGTGCTGCTTTGACTGTGAGCTCATGCCCAGACTGCAGCACATCAGGGTAGCAGGTACAGCAATACGATAAAACTGAACATCTGTCAGAAGTGTCAAATATGTGCTAACCTCTCCGCCAATGGCCGTTTTCACACTGCACGACACGGTGTTGTGGGAGTTGGAATCCTGTGTTACCAAATAAAACTGCTTAGCTTACACAATGATATAATAATAACATTTCATGATGCTCAAATATTGATGTGATTTAGGCTATACAATATTTTTTGCAGGACCTTTTTTTCTCAAGTTATGAAGAACATAATTGTTTACATTTTGATTAACTGTAAAATTTAATTTGTTTAGCTGTTTTCGGGAAGGTTGGGGTGGGGCGGCAGCGGAGTGGGGGAAGAGCCATAGTCTGTCTCACTCCCACAGCTCGGTATCTCTCTCTGGCACCAATGCTACGAGGAGGACACTTTCTAACCGGCCGACCTATTGTATCTAATTCACAAAACAGTTGTTAAGTGATTTTGTTTGAGTATTCCAGGGTTACCACCCCTCCTGAATCTGTCGACGCTGTGATTCAGATCGCAGGTGTCAATAGGTATTTTCCTGTTGACCCTAGTTTTATAGGTAGTTTTTCAAATATCTAACAAGTAGACAGTTTCTCTATAGTTTGTTACAATGAGCGTGTGTTCTAGGCAAGTACTTCAGTGACTTTGAGATCCCGTCGCATCTGAAGCACTTATGGCGTTACATGTACCACATGTACCAACTTGACGCCTTCACCCAGAGTTGTCCAGCTGACCAGGACATCATCAACCACTACAAGCTGCAGCAGGTACACTTGTGTTGCATATATTCCATATTTCCAACTAAGCCTATCACAATTATTTGTGAAGATATTTTCCTTATACATCAGCAAAAACAGGTTTTTTAATGCATGCGTTGCAGGTCTAAGGTACCTCTATTTCTTCCTAGGGAGTAAAAATCAGCTGTTGTATACTTCAGTAAGCAATTACATGTATCAAAATTAAGTACCAATTGTTTTAATCGGTTGTAGCTTATTGCTGCATTCTTGTCAATTTAGTTTGACATGTTGGTAGTGTTATGCTATGATATATTATACTGCTATGTAATGCTAAGGCTATGATTATACTAGGAGGCTGGCGTCCCACTTTGAGCCGAAAATGACATAATATGTGTTGGGATGCTAGCCTCTCGGATTGCTATTTATTTCAATGTTTTGTAACTTTAAGTGTGTTTTTAGTAAAATATTAAGAGCTTAGTACAACAAAATTGACCCAAGTTTGATAAAAATATTAACAAGCAAGTGACAACAGATAACAATTTAATAATTTCCATAAGAATAACATGAGAATTTTAAATTTATTTATTTATTTTTTATTTTATTTGTGGGTAACTACACATAAAAAAAAATTATTTGTTTTTAAGCTCTTTAAATGGTCTAGAGAGAAAATGAGAATTTTTGTGTTTGTGGGTCAAAAAAGAGAAAACCCCTTTTTTAACTTTAAATAACCCTTAAATTGTCCAAAAAGAACTCTAAAAAATGTGATATTTTGTATGGTAGTAACTTCTGACACCCTGTTATCAGAGATATCAAAAAGTCTCTGCATTTTCATAGAACACTCTTGTATAACTGTTGCAACTTTCAAAGTTCCTAAGATGTAACACAACTGATTTATTTACCAATCTAATGTTTAGTTGTCAAAAATCAATGTATTTCATTACATATTTAAAGGAGCAAAGCCCTCATCTAAGCCAACAATATACATACAGTAGACTCCCTCTTATACGGACTCTTCGGGACCGAGGCCAGTCCGGATAACGGTTTTTCCAGTTAAACCAACGTCCCCAAAAAATTGTTATGTAACCCAAATATTTGACTTAAATTTAGGAGAGTATTGTATTTAGACACATGATCACTGGTCTCAAATCTTTCACACGAGAACAGTCGTTTCAGTACCACCCGATTCCTACCGATGTGCTGTTAAAAATTGTCCGGTTAAAGAGATGTCATTTCTGCCGAGTGTAGTCCGGTTAAAATGTGTCCGGATAAGAGGGAGTCTACTGTATTATGTAGTTTATGTTTATATATAGTAGTGGTACAGATATTTGTTCCAATAAAAATAAATGATATGAGGTGACCAAAGATCGAAAGTCCCAAAATATTAGTACTTATTTTGGGATTTAGACTTCCTATTATTCTTCTAATACCATTGACAAAGTTGGCTTTCAGCTACCATGTTAGAGCAAGATAAATAATAATGTAATGCTTTTTCAGCAGGGTATGAAGATGAAGAAACATGAGGAGTTGGAGACCCCAACATTCACCACTTCCATCCCCATCGAGGTGTCCGGAGAAGACTAACATCACTGCGAGCCGCAAGGGGCATTGTTACTGCAGACCAACATTTCATTACTTACATTCTTGAGTAGATTATATTTATGTCATATTTTGTTTTAGGTTATAGAAAAAGCTTTATTATTGATATTTCAATACTATTTATTGCCACGGTTTATTAATGATTTTCAAAAGCGTGCCGGCAGAAGTTAAAGTGTTGTTTGACAACACAAAGCTTATTTATTGTAAGACTTCATGTGACTATGTGCATTATTCGAGTGGCCTTTTTTTGTACTCCTCATTGAAAAGTCTGATTAGAAAATGTCGACCAGTTTCAGTTGTAGTTCAGATTAATCATTAATTTGTAATAATGTCCATAATGTCCAACACAGGGCTATACTGTTGTACAGTGTTTGCCGTTCTGCAGTGATAATGAAGGCAACATTTTTGTGAACTAAAAATCGGTTACCGGCAACTTTCACAAAACTTTGTATAGTGAAAATTTAGTTTAAGCAAAGCCATAACGCTGTTTTCATGCGGTGTAAATAGGCATGGCCAAGTTAAGTTTCTTGTTACTGGGTTGGCTGCACCGTTAATTCTTGTTACGAACACTAACTATATAGTTTTTTTAACAAAATGTTAATCAGCACCGCTTTGTATCTTCAGTCTCTGTCCTTGTAAATATTTCAAAACCTGCCACTGCAACTTTTGTTCAATCATATTTTGTAAAGCCTGTAAATTAAAACATTTTCTACAATTTTAGATAACTAGCTAAAACTAAGGCAAAACTTAAATTAACTATTTGTTAATTTTTAAATTTTTAACAGGGTCTTTTTTAGTTTTGTTCCTCAGTTGCAGGTTGTCAATGCTATTTAAATTTACATTTGTTATTGCCTGATGCATTAATTAAGGTATGTTAAATCATTAAATGGCAATAATTTATTATTATTTAAGGTTATTTTTATTTGTGTATTTTTCACAAAGTACAGTTTATTTAAATTTGAAGGAATATATTTAAGCTAATTGTACTGTCAAATTTTAATAAATTTTATTTTGATTTATTGTAATACTCTGTCCTTTTTTACCTTTTTGCTTGTAAAATATAGTGTTCCTGCAGTTATGAAACCAGCCAATGACTAGTCTTGCACATCCAAACTAAACATGCTGCGGCTAGGTCGGTTAAGCCAAAAAGGTTGGAAAAAAAGACATAACATTTTATCCAAGCGAAACCCAATCAAGCCACCATTTCAACTGACAACAGAGTAAAATCATAACTTCTAAATCTGAAAATGGTGGTTCAGATGCACTCACTACTGTCAGTCCAGTCATACCAGTGGCGTAAATAACACTTTGCGGTGCAGGGGGGCCGAAGTCTGACTGTCACCGCTCATTTCAATCGCGGACAAATTTCTATCCTTGACCGTAGGAGACATTGATGATGTCTTCAAGACCGGAGAAAATATTCATGATTTTTCGACAATCGTGGGAAAAGATAAATTTCCGTGATAGCGGAAGACAATGACAAAGTGGCAAAGCTATCCTGAAAAATGGAAGGCTGTAGGCTGTCTCGGACCTAACCTATGGGTGAACTAGTAATAAACCCTCTTTTGGCAAAATCACTGTTGTCGAGTTATTCAACTCGCGTAATCGTATTCTAGTTTAGAGTATGCTAGGACTCAACTGCTATAGGCTGAATTGAACCTTTTGAAGCAGGTCTGTGCAAACTCGTGGTTAGTTGAGGGGTGAGGGTAAAGATAGTTTACAAATACTACCTTCACTTTCGGTTCGGGGTTGATAAAACTACCGCCAAAGTTCGCTTTATAATTTCAATATTCACAGTTTTTATTTCCAATTTAAATTCAATTACTTTATTCCCAAGTGAGATCAATGATAGTAAGGTACAGTAGCACTGTTGGTTATCGTTCTGACTTCACACCTAATCGACACTACTTTTTTGTGTATGCAAATCTGTACCTGTGGTAAATTGTAAATTAAATAAATATCATTATTTTGAAACCTGGAAACTTCACAGCCTCATGACATGCCTTCACAGTCGACATGAGCCGCTGGCGAGAGTTTGTGACAGCTTTTCGGCTATCACTACGGATTGTAGTTTTATATTCTTTAGCAAGAAACTTTTTCCGATGAACCTTGCTATGTTTACATTGCAAACTAGCTTTTAGCTGTGCTAGAGGAACAGGGAAATAGAAAGATTATTTACACAATTCTATAATGTTCAATGATGTTGTTTCCATTTGTACAAGTGCATGAAAAATACAACTGATCAAAAAGATTCATCAGGTAGCCTATATATTTTGTTTCAGAAAAGAAATTCTTAAAATAAAGCATACTTGGTACAAAGTAATTAATAACGTATATTATACATATTTACATTACGACACATATCTAGAAGTTAGCTTAGACAAAATTTTGTAGAAAACGGTTTACCAAAATATATAATTACATTATAGTTTAATCACTAGTACTAAATTAATCTTACTTATGTATATGTGGTGTACTATGATTGTATAGATTTATGACAATTAACAAGGGTAACGTAGCAATAGAATCAATAATATACACAACATACAAAACAACAATAGTTATAGATTCATTGAAATAAGATTTTTTCTATGTGATGTCTGATCTGTTCTATTCTATTCACTATTCAAACCAAACAGTTAGACAAATTAATATTTACAGTATTTACATAGCTATATTTTTCAATTAGTTATAAACGAACTTCAACTTACATATAAACAAACGTCGTGTTTGGTTCTAGAGGATGAATAATGTATATGTTACAGGCAAACCATATAATGCAAGCGCTCTCTACATTGGCTGAAGCTTTTGAGCAAAGTATCAAATAGAATAATAATGATAGGATTTTATACACCTTGACTAGGCGTTGCCTAGGCATTCAATGTCAGGCAAAGTATAAAATAAAGATGTTTCAATGTTGGTAAAAAAATAAACATTTAGGTATTTAACAGGATTGATTTATTTTATGTATAATTAGGTTAATTTATTATTTGGAAAAGTCTTAAAAAATTCTTTAGAATAATTAAATATTGTCTAAATGGTTATAGTTTATTTTAGATTAGATTTATGCCAAACAAGAGAACAAAAGTATAAAAAAAGCCCAACATCAGTGTGTTTTATACTTTGCTTAAAGTTTTCAGTGCCAACAGGCATCCTATAGAATGACTAGGCAAGGTATATAATAAGCTCTATTTCATATTTTTCCTGTTTATTTGAGGCATTGGTAATTCTATACAGTTGAACCTCTATAAGACAAATTTCAAGGGGTATGGGAAAAATTTGTAATATAGAGGTATTCTTAATAAAGAGGGTCGTTTTATCGAGGTTTAATGCTGCTGTTATTCTTCTTATTGAGGTTTCTCCAAACAATGACTGAGGAAGGAGGGATGGATAGGGGTTTCATGTTGAGACAAGCTTCTGTTTGTTTTGAAAACTACAGTTATGGAGGTTAAGATTATGAGAAATTCGACTTATAGAGGTCACGTTCGTTTTGTAGAGGTTTTGTGCTAAGAATATTCGTTGTTTGGAGGTTAATCAGTCCTAGCCCATGTCTTATGGAGGTTTTTAACTTAATTACTATGTTGTATAGAGGTGTTTTTAGCAATGACCTAGCCTATATGAAAGTGTCAAGGGGATTTAAAAAAAATTGTCATATCGAGGAATTTGTTTTATCGAGGTTCGTACAAACGAGGTTCAACTGTAGAATGACAGGATTATATACTTTGCCTGTAACATATATATACATTACAAGTATCCAAACTTAAGTTTTACTTGCAATAATTCCTGTAACAAAATAAACCTACCACCCCAAACAGTAAACCTTGTAGAAAATTATCATTAGTGTGGCTGAGACAAAAATACAAGTGGGTGGTAATTTTTAATAATTTAAAACCGACAAACAATTTCCAATAAAACAAAACAAACAAAAACTGAACTGATTGCGACCAACACATCACTAATATTGTATTAGAAGATGTGTTAGGCCTACAACATAAAATGTAAAAAATACTTTATTAAAAAAATTAACAAAATAAATAGTTCTTTTAAGTAGATTTCATACCTCCTATGAGTAACTTTTTAGAAGGTACATGTTATAGTGGCGTTTACAGGTACAGTAATAGTATTGATGATTCAATAGAAGTTAATGTACATAGGTACATACTAACTTTTGTGTATAGCCTAACTTGACACAAAAAATTCAAAAGCTTTTGTTTGCTCCATGGGAGTTTATTCCTCTATAAATAACAGATATATTTGACAGTTTCAAAGAAAAAGAATAAATCCACAACTGTTTATTAGATTATATTTATGATGGTTTAACACCAGGGTGTGTTTTTAACGAACAAAGAAGCATGGGTGTTAAAAGGCTTTGTTACAAGATCTGCTACTTTTGACCAGGCACATTTAAATTTTAAAGCCCGCATCAAATCTCTGATCCTACAGTTATTTAGGTCGATTACAGTCTCAATTGATTAGTGTTTAATATTGTTTGGAATTGTAAAATAAATTACTGTAGTCATAAACTAAAGTAAAATAGGAAAATCCAAAATCGTCTACAATTTGACTGTCACATTTTCATCACATGACGTATCCAGTGAGTCTCTAGTAGCTAACATTCAGCAATTGTACTGTTTAACATTAGATATTTATCTGTTATGTACATAATGATTGAATCACAGAAAGCTGAGCTGAACCAGTGCATGTTTTAAGACTCACATTGGACTCTCTCAATACTTACATCTTCTACAGGTGTCTCTACCTCGGCCACTTGCTCTGTAGCTTGTGAACTTCCCTCTTGCACGATGGAGACAGAACTTCCTTCTTGCATGATGGAGACAGAACTTCCTTCTTGCACGATGGAGACGGTCACATCATTAACATCATCTTCTTTGCCAAAGGTTTCTCCTTCTTCTGCATCAGAGTCTTTCTCCACCTTTATTTCTGTTACCAACGCTTTTTCTATAACTACATCATCTTCATTATCCCCTTGTTCCGCAGCTTCAACATCCTTGCCTTGTTCTTCATTGGGTACTCCACCCGGAGGCTCCACAGGTAATCCTAGTTTCTTCTTTTTTTCACGCTCAGCTTTTTCAACATCAGCCCAAACAGTTCTCACTTGGCGGAAAAGCTGTAAAAGTTAAGAAAATGTTAATACTTTTGTTGGGTAAACATTTATGTTTTTATGATAAGTTTAGTAATGTATGTTTTTGTCTCCTTCAGCAAATTAATCTAGACATTCTAGCTAAACAGATTTTAAGTTAGCAAGAATCAAACTATTGGTCCTAGTTAATAATAATCATTAACTAGGATTGTTTTTATAGCAGTGAAAGCCAGTTGAGCGGAGCAATCATGTTTCATGGTTTTTAATAAAGCAATAAATGAAAACATGTTTATAGATATTATACAAAATACAAATGTTCCCACACTCTGCATTGCTAGCCTTTACTACTTCCTTCACCACCTCCTACGTAGTGGACCTGTTTCCCTCCCTTCCTAGAGCATTTTAAGATTGCAGATAAATTAATCTAACTGCCACAGACAGTTCCCACACACCGCACTGCTGGCCTTTACTACTTCCTTCATCGCTTCCTATGTCGTGGACCTGTTTCCCTCCCTTCCCATAGCATTTTAGTATTTTAGACACGTTAATATAACTGCCCCATAACGTTCCCACACTCTGCACTGCTAGCCTTTACTACTTCCTTCACCACTTTCTACGTCTTGGAAATGTTTCCCTCCCTTCCCATAGCACTTGAGGATTGCAGATACATTAATCTAATTGCCACAAATGTTTCCCACACTCCGCACTTCTCGCCTTTACTACTTCCTTCATCACTTCCTACGTCGAGGACCTGTTTAAGTTTGCCATTTATGAGATGAATTAATGAATGTGATTCACCGCCAAATTGTTTGTTCAAGATAAAATGTTACAGTATTTTTTATAACCTTATTTAGCTACTTAAATCAAATCTGTTAAATACTGTACCTAAGAAAGTATGTTTTATCTATGACTGTACCAATTCGATCAGTGGTCTTTACCAAAATGTGACTTAAAATGTAAACCTAAGACTTTCTCTGTATTATTTTATCAGTGGTCATCATCCAAATTTTTTCCCTTTGTACTGTGTTTAGGTCGTGGCTTGATTTGAACATATGCTGATTCTTTATTTTGTTTACATTTACGTTGTTAGTTTGTAACCATCATGGAAACTCATAAAGCCAATGTAAAAAATTAAAAACTTTGAGTTACTTTAAAATTATATAAGCATTATCAAACATTGAAATTGGTTACGTCCAAACCATCTAAACATTTGACAAAACAACTTTGGTAAGTTTGGCTAAAATATTTTCAACCGTTATTGAGATTAAGTGTTATAAAGATTGCATTGAAGTTGATCCCAAAGAGCTTCGCTTAGCTCCGCTCAATAATCATTCCGAAATATTGCCGCCACAATTTATTAGAAATGAATTGGTTTTTTTTTGCAGCTCTTCAAAACTAAACTGGTACATATTTAACCACAGTACCTATAGATAGTTCTCTTAATTCATAATGAACTATTTAACAATGTTGCCAAAACAAAAGAATTAATAGCATTGAGTAACTGTATGGAATTAACCCATTTGGAAAGTGAAAAGCCAGAGTCTCTGTGAATTAAAGACTAGACTATTTATGTTTTTAGGTTAACTACAAGAAAACACTATATAGTAGTCCAATGTATCAATACTTGTCAAAAACTTCAATGTTTCGTAAACATGAGTAATGGATGTTCATCGTTACAACAGTAGTTGTCACTACAGTAGTTTGAGTTTTAAGATTCAAAACCTTTCAGATTCAACAAAGAACATTTAATATTTTTAAATATCAATCCGTTTACAGGTGTTCGATTCACACATAATTAACTTATTGGCAAAATATTTTATTCCGCTGTTAATTTTTTTTTCCTAAATTATGTTCTTTCATATCTTATATCATATGAATGTTTTTCACGAATTGTCCGTTTTTAACCTAAATAAAAGCCAAAGAATCAAAATCTGTGTCCTACTTCTCGATGCTACAGTAAAAAGAGGCAAAAAGTGTTAGGCCTATGTGCAATCATTATTACACTCACTAACACTGTAAACTTCCACCCAAGCCAGACACTGTTTATACTTAACAGAAACCCCTCCACTCCAGCTAAGCCACACATTAGTAAGCTCGACTGCACATGTACAGGACTCGATAAAACGCATGTAGAAAGACTTCAACGCTAAACTCATTGGAGCAACGCCTTGGCCAACTAGGGTACCATGGCACAGTCGGCCGAATGGGTCGATTGTCTACTAAACGACATGACGAGTCTAGTGCCCGTAGAACTAATTGAGCCCTAGTGGGTTTGCAGTGCTGATATATTGCCATGAAATGCAGTAACGGAACACATGTGAGTCGTAGTCATTGGGCTAAAGTTTAACACCTGAACATAGATGGACTAGTCGGTAATGATCAATGAATGTGTTTACATGTTTCCTAACATAAGTCAAATTTGTTGGTTCAAATTAATAAAACCGAACAAAGTTTAGTTCGGTATTAACATCAACTTAGGCCTACATCTAGCTCAGGTATGCAAAGAAATATAACAGTTAGCAACAAACGAATTAAATAACTTGTTTTCCTTTACCTTGCTCAGCCATTCCTCATCAGCCAATAACTCATTGAGGATAACTGTTGTATCCTTTCCTGAATCAGTCTTGCGTTTCTCCTGAACTCTCTTAACACAATCTATATACATGATGTACTTCTGATGTACAAGCTTGTTGTACAGTTGCACAAACTTGATGCACTCCAGGCATATCATGAAATCCTGTACAAAACAATAATTTACTTGACAACAAAGTCAACTTGTTAAGTTAAATTATCTGGGTCGTAGCTCCATAAAAGTTTTAACAAGCAACAGAAAAATGGTAAGAGAATCCATTATGATCCCAAGATGTTGTAATTCTGACTTAAAAAAACAGAGAAAAGTATTGATTAATACTAGTAGGCCTGTATGTATAAGTATTTGTATTGATCAAAATTAAACAAATATAGACGTAATGAGAATTAATTTTTACCGTAAGTTCTGATTTGGGTTATAAAGTTTTACTTGGATTCCCGATTTTGAACTTGACTTTAAGGTGTGGGATTAGAGATTCCAAATTTCTGGGTTTCAACATTACTTTAGTGCTGCACTTGTATTAAAACATCAGATAAACCCACCGATCGCCCTCATTGTGTCACCCCCACCGAAGCGTACAGACTTTGCCAGTTTTACACTCGTATAAGATTGAAGAAAATCTGAATTTTATTAAATCATTCCCAATAGTATCAAAGAGTGAGAAAAAAACTTTGTTCTTTTCCCTACAATTTGACGTTTAAATCGTTAAATTATCTTGAATAGTCCCCGAGCAACGACCGTTTAAAATCCCGGCACTCTTTTATAAACACCCTGTACTATGAACTTTTTTGATTGAACTCGTTACAGCATCCAAAGTAACCAGTAGGCCTAATTTTTCATCTAGTAACTGACCTTCTCATTCCTGTTGTTCTCCACCTCACATCCGTCCAGAGTGTTGGGGTTGTAGGGTTGGCCGTACAGTATGATCCTAGCATGCACCATGTTGCGTTCGCAGGCGTCACACACTGGTACCGGACCTGCCTTGAGATCAGCCAACACGTTGTAACACGGCCATGTCGTGACACTTCGCTGCAACGCTGACTCTACCGGCCAGCCCACCGCAGCCACCAGCCGTACACGTCGCTCCTCCGTCAACCTGTCTATCACCTCCACGTTCTGAAGGAAGTACTCGTCTGTGACAAACACACCAGGACGTTATTTGAAGAGTGACGATGGGTGTTGAAGTAGAATAATTATAGTTAAAATATAATGGATTAAATTATTCTGGTGGCTTCCTTGTGGCTGATAAGCTGGTTATCCAGGAACAATAGATATGTAGAATCAATTTCAGACCATTAGGCCTACCTAAGAACGGTCTTCAAGATCAGCCTGGCACCTTTCTCATTACTAGACTTTGATTGGTACAATAGCAGGGTTGGTACTAAATTTGGAAAATAAAATTCCCTGACTTTTCCAAATGAACAAAATTCCCTGACTTTTCCATGTTTTCCCTGACCGTACCAACCTTGTGGATGTCTTATGGATCTGTCTCGTCTGGTCTCTTGCTTGAACGAATCAATGGATTCAACAAATAAAAATGTATAACCCAATGTTTTCCCAAAAGTTTTCTTAAGCTCGATTACATTCGCAATACACCAAGCATTTTGCATCATAAGACATTCTTTGTCAAATTGAATGTCTGCCAAATCACTCCGGATGAGTGAAAGAGAATTATTTTGAACTGGAAACTTCTAAACAAACAGTGAGCACTTAAACCGCTCAGCTAAATAGTGAGTACGGTACCCTACTTTGACTTAAATTGAGTTTATCACCAAATTACTTTACTTTGACCATGTGCAAAATATACAAAAAACCAAGAACTTGGCTAACTTACCTTTCTCAGCAAATATTTCAGCCAGGAAGTTAGCATCCAGTGCTTGAGAAATAAGAGTTTGAATGTAGACCTCAAAATTGTCCTGATACTTGGCTGTTTGCAGAAGAGAATGTTCCAAGTAAGCCCTGCAATGATCAATAAATACCATGAATGACAGTTCAATCCTATATGAAACACTGTATGTGTGTGTTGATAGAAATACTGAGGACTTATATTTGTTATCAAGTCACTGAAGCTAGGTTCAAATAAACCAAAACATTTAAGTAATGGATACACTTATACACAATGGTTACACATGAGCTGTAGCCTAATAAATTTGAGTGACCAATGTTACACAATAGAAAATTTTCTTTGGTGTAAGGATTTAAAAGTAACTAAAATAAATTTCTTGTGAATGTGAAGATTACTCACTGTTCGACAGCAGGATCGACCATTTCTGATCTGAGGAATCTGACAATGGTTTCTGAGCGACTTTGCACTATGAACTGCACAGGAACTTTCTGGTAAATGCCCCTGTTCTGAGGAGTCCATCCAGAGTACTGCAAAAAAATGTACACTACTGTAACCATACCAATTGTGGAGGGAAAAACACACTATGTAGAAATACGTTACTTAGAGTTCCTAACAGTTCTTCTTTAGAAGAGGCTTCTTCAGAAGGGAGAATTAAAAATTATAATTATTACACAGAATCATCCGATTTTATAGGTTTATGATCATAGGGACATGAGGTTAATTTTATATTAAATGATAACTCATAAAAATACCATTTAAATGCTCAATATGACCCTCTTAAGATATTCATCATATAGGCAATACTCAAATTTGTCCCACACCTTAGCTAGCATGTCTTGAGTGAGTGCGGTTCTTCAGTTTAACCAATGTTGTTGGAGGGATATAAACAGTGTCTTTTGAAAACTCCCACACAAACAGTAAGGTCCTTATGATTATTTGAGAGGATAGCAGGCTTACCTGAATGGGAAAGAGTCCAAACTGACATATGATCCTGGCTTGGTTGGCCATCCGTGCCAGTTTGGACTCTTTCCCATTCAGGTAAGCCTGCTATCCTCTCAAAAAATCATAAGGACCTTACTGTTTGTGATTTGTTTGTGTGGGAGTTTTTAAAAGACACTGTTTAAATCAGTAGGGTGATTTCGACCATACTTGTTGTAATTTAAAACTATGGACCTAAATTAGTTGTTTTGAGTATTTTATCTTATGCAATAATTTTGTAGTATCTTGATCAAAAGCCCAGTGGCAAATGACGGCTATGTCCAGAATCAATCATTCTCAGAATTGGCCCGGCAACCTTTGGATTTGAAGGTAAGCACCATCCACTCGATTACCTAGTAAGTTAGCCACTTAAGATTTCATGTTAAAACTAACAAGACATGTGTAGAAACTCACAGTAGAAATATTTCGGTAAAGCTTTTCTCCGTTCTGATCGAAGGACTCGTACTTTTGCAGCAGTGTTTTTCCGTCCACTCGCCACAGAGCTGGATATTTTTCTGTCAACTCTTCTTTCACGACAATGAACTCCCCAGACTAAAATGAAATTCAAATTGCAGCTAAATCATTATACACATCACTTATATATAAGAAAATCATTAATAATTCAATTAAAAAAAAAAACTAAACAAACCAGTTAAAAAGAAATTGAATTCTTGTAGCCTATATTTTAATCCACCATGGAATTGGTGTGGGAATGATGGGAAAATTCATGGTAGTAGTTCATCACACCAGCTAATCCTACAGTCGAGACTTTATAAATTGGGTAGTTTGAAGCCTTACAATGCATTCCGCAGACGTCAGAGAGCAATCTGCAGAAGTCGGGAGGGAACGGCAAGACTCAATGGATTCTATAACATTTTATTTTCATTTATTTTAAAAACAGAATAATGGTGCTCCAGTCAACGATTTCCTTTTGGCGCTCTTAATACTTGAAATAACGGCTCTTTTTAGATGTTCAGTTATCCGGTATTTTCAATAATATGGTGCCAATAAAATCTTGAGCGTGCCAAACTAGACAAGTGTGTATCGTATTGTGATTGTAGGCAAACTAAATGGATGCCAATATTTTTCTCTTGATAAGGAGGTATAGTCGTTTGGATAAACAATTTAAAATGAACGTTAATGACAACATTTTGTTTTATGACAGGAGGGGTTCCTGATAGTGCAATTACATTAAGAGAACAAACATTTTAGTTGAAACGAAATAAAAATAGTGTTGAGTTCATTTATGCTAATTGAATTCTGAATAACTAATCAAACACAGTTGTCGGATGCTAAAAAGTAGGTAGGCCTACTGTGAACAACCTAATTTGTCCTAGTTCCTTACCTTAAAAGGGAAGTAATCTTCGGTGCCTAGAGTGGCATCAATTTCTTCCTTCTCTTTGGTTGCCTTAAAAGCTTTCACTGCTCTTCTGGTCTCTCTCTTACGAATTTTTTGGGAACCCTTCGATCCACCTGAAAATATCACAGCTTACAATTTTTCTATTCAAAATGGTAAGGATGAGCAAAGACAACCAACATATGATCTTAAATGTAGATATGAATTGTTTATAAATTTGCAGATATATGGATCTGAGTGATTGTATTTAGCATTTGGAACAATCTCCGTATCTTTAGTGTTAAGCAATGTTTCCAACTTGCATTGTTGTTAGCTGATAAGTTATATTTCAATCTATTTGTTTTTGACATATTTTAATCCTCTACGAAATATGGGGAAAACCTCAGACCTTTTGCTTGTTTAAAAATAAAAAGATATCAAACCAGTACTATTTTTTCCAACCATCTTACAATAATTAATTATTTTGATTTGATTTTAGCTTATTTTTCCCTGAAAGTAAACAGCTATTAAGGCCTTGTGATACAACCTATGTTTAAGGCCAGCTTTTAGTTTTTGTTTTAAATTTTCTAGAATCCCAAGAAAAAAAGAGAAACCACTTTATTTGGATTGAAAGTACCTGGCAGTATATCTACCAACATGTGGACCACTATGAACCATCAACAACTGCATTACATGAAAAAGTGTGGTAGGGGAACCAATTCCAACATTACCGTACTACAAACACGGATAATCATAGTTACATCACAAGAAACCAAATAAAAGTTGATAAGCATAAAAAATATATATTTTAAGCAAGCACCATCATACATTGTCCGGAATACAAATTTTTAATCAATTACCAATAAAAATGAAATATGAAACAGATGACAACAAATTTTAAAACACTCTAAAATCACATTTGACACAAAATGCTCTATTTATGAATTCAAAGATTTGTGAGCTAAGAAATAACAGCATTGAATTAAAATGATTTAGGTCTATTGCTGTTTCACTAAGTATATTTTTGTTTTGTCCTTGAGAGATGCCCATATTATTTTGTTGTTTTGTTTTTGTGTATTATATTTGTCTTTTATTTGTGTTATTTTATGTAATGATTACTTTGACGGCATTCTTGCATATACAATACATACTAATGAATAAAGATGTTTTGAATAGAAATTAATAGAATTGAATGCAAATTAACCTGTTTCAAAATAATAGTATAAAGCTCCTCTTGATAGACCCTACATTAAAAAGTAAGTTTTACCACAAACCCTGGAAGGCTTGCATACCTCTGGCTGGGGCTGATTTGCAGCTGTCGCAACGCCATGTGCCGCGCTTCGAGCCCATCTTCAGCACTCGCTGCATTGTCTGCAGACTAAGGCAACTGCAGTGGAACTGATTCTTGCAGCTGGAACATTTTACTGCATCTGTCGGGTCGTCTGCAAAGTTGCTGTTACACACTGGGCAAATACCTGGGGTCCAAAAAGTCTATTAGTAAAGGAATTTATGTATACTGAACTGTAAAATTCTACTTCATACTAGGAGTTTATTTTTTTAAATATTTTTCTGTCTTAAATATGTTTTTTTTTACCACATACGTAAATAAGGTAAGCAATTTGTTTGTCAGTGCACAGTATTAGTTGGTGTGAAAGTTGATGATGAAGCCTATTCATGTAGGTAATATGATCAATGGCAAAAGAAGATTTCTGAGTATGAAGTTCAAAGACAACACTAAGTAACAAGCTACCGCTATAACCACGTTCTCTCTAAATGCCATTTCTCTGTATGGTAAGATAAATACGATATATGTAACTATAAGGTTGGAAATATAACAATAGAAACAAGACCGTTAAATTATCAATAATTAGAAAAATTAAGTTCAAACTGTCATTTCTCCAAAATGATCTGTCAGCAGTTAACAGTAACTAGTATCAAGACTATATAAAAGTAAAACTATATTTGGTTGGTGTTACTACCACATACCAGACACATCGACAACTTCAGCTTTTGGTTTAGACTTCTTTTCTTCATCGGATGACTCCAAAAACCGAGAACCTGACAATGCTTTAGATTTTCTTCGTCTTCCACTTCCAAAAGCTTTGCCATACTCATCTTCGTCATCAGAATCCTAGTGACAAAATCACAATCAGCAACAATAATATTAGTCAAATAGGACGCTAAGCTACTAATTAGTAATTTCCACAAGTAAAATTCTACATCATAAGACGAGGTAATTGTAATTGAAGGGTGTTCAGCCAGTCATCTTTGCATTAGAGTGTCAAAGTTATTGTTCCAGGAAGCAGAATATTGAAAGGGTGAGCAGTGAGAGACATGTTTTACTACTGCAAACATAGCCAAAATACTTTACTCCAAAATCATTCTAAAAATAACACAAGACTTGAAAATTGTTAACTTGATACTTAACTAGTAGGCTAATACTGTTGTTTTAGACTTATAAATTTGTTTTTTCAAATTCAACTATATACTAACTGATATCTCCGTGTTTCCTATGCCGAAGAGTTATTTTTAATAAGTTAGGCCTCCTTAGGTTTTTTTTTATACTGATATTTTTATTAATGTTTTTTAATAAAAGATTTTATATCTTTGTCTGTTATTATTATTTTTGTATTTAACCAGTCTGTCATAAATCAGTACCTAGGTATTTAAAAATGTTTAAAAAATCTGGTTAAAATGTGGAACGTGCATTTCCTGTTATGTATGAGAATGTAAACCCCGTCTCGATCTTGTCTCAAAATTTTATGAGGAATAGAAAATCTCATCTCGTCTCGAACTAAAAACCCAATCCCGTCCATCCCTACTTCTTGGAGATAAAGTTTTCGTTTATAACCTCTCATTACCACTGATAGTTATGCAACCACTCACTACACCTCTTGTTGTATAATTAATTAAATTGGTCTTTGATATGTTGACATTCAAAGCATTACAATTTTACTTCTTTTCTTTCAATCCTTGTATCAACTGTAAATGAATTTTTTTTAAATAAAGCACTTTTTTCTTTCTTTTTTTCTTGAACCTCATTGGTCTTTTACTGCTTTAAAGTAAAAAAAAATACCCCCGCCGCAGCAAACCTGCAGACTAAGCGAATTTCCATTGACCTGATTGGATTTACACTAAAATGCCTCCATAAAAATAGCACATTTATTTTCTATTTAAATAGAATTAGTTTAACAAGTACCTTAGGTTTGCTGCAACAGGGAGGGTAAAAAAGATTTTTTTATAAAATGATAATAGTTTAGTAAGAAATAAAAGTATTTTCAAAATCGATCAAAATATGTTCATAAACAAGCAAACTACAACAGTTGACTTATTCTCCATAAGAATAACATGGGAATTTTAAAATTACAATTTTTTTTAATTTTCTCCGTAGCAATTAGGCGCATAATAACGCTTCAATATACTAAATTATTTGTTTTTTTAAGCTCTACAAAGTGGTTTAAAAAGAAATTGTGAAATTTTGTGTTTTTAGCGGCAAAAATGGGAAAAACCTATTTTTACCCCATAAAACCCCCCATAAACCCCCGTTCCCATAGTCCGATCATGCTGGTTCACGAACTCATTCAAGTTTATCCCGCCTTACACCTTCAAACCAAATTTTATCAAAATCGGACAAAAATTACTCAAGTTATTGTGCGGATGGACACATATATATATATCTATATATAGATATATAAAAATTTGAACGAATGGTGTTTTTGGCCTCTGGGGACATCAAAATGAAAAAGTAAATCGGTCCCGGGCTTAGGTCTTACCATGAGACCTACGGTAATAGCTACTTCCCTATAGGGAAATTCGCTAAAAAACAAAAAAAAACAATGTGAATGTGGTAAAGTGAATCTTTTCTATTTTAAAAACTGAGAATTGAAAAAAGCTAGTTAAAAAAAACCATTGAAGTCAAATATATTTTGTGCTATTCTGCAAACATTTCCAAACCATAAAAGGATAAATACTCAACTATTTAATCAGCTCTAATCTTACCTCATCTGGACTCCAAGCCTGGTCAGAATCCGAATTGCCTGAGAATAGTTCATCAAGTTTTTCATCGAGACTAGGAGTCTCTTTTGCTTTTCTTCTAGCACTTCTACGCGTAGGTACCGGTAATGGTTCTTGTGACTCTTCTGTAAAAGATAATCAGAAATCAGACTTTTGGGATAAGCTTTGTGTACGATATACTGATGAAGTGTCCCTGTTGCTCGAATTCTAGCAATTGCTAAGAATTACAGGCGTTAAGAAAATACGTTCACAAGCCTTATACTAATACTGTAGAATCAAAATTAAAATTCCATCAAATTAAAGGGTCAATTGCATTTCAAGATAAAAATTTATAAAAATATAAATTTATTGGGTCCATTGTAAAAAAAAAGTTTAGTTAGTATAATTTTTGTGCCATTAGGTTTTTCATTAGTAAGCAACCGCTTACAACATTTTAAATTGACCACTACGTTTAAATCCAATAAGATATGAATGAAATGAGATAGACATTATATGAAATGCATGCTGGTATTTATAATAGTTCCATATAACTAAGTTATACAACCACATTCTGTTTCAGTAAATTAATGAAAAATGTACAGACATAACCACAGTATACTAAGTGTTAACGGACTCAGAGAATATAGTTCATCTTACCCATAAAATATTTTGTTAAATTTGTGAATATTATCTCATTTTTAAATGTATGTTTGGGCACATTCATAAATTATGTCAACATAATTTTAATTACATTCTTACTAGGGATGGACGAGATTGGATTTTTAGTTCGAGACGAGACGAGACGAGATTTTTTATTTCTCATAAAATTTCGAGACGAGATCGAGACGAGATTTCTCTTCTCATACACAACGGGAAATGCACGTTCGAAATTTTTACCTGATTTTGTAACATTGTTAGATGACTGTTTAAATACTAAAATCCTATACTCTAATACGAGCAATGTTTGCTTGTATGTATGTATGCTTGCTTGCTTGCACCAAGATCTCGAAAACGGCTCCGACGATTTTCTTCAAATGTTGTAAATAGATTATTTTTGGCCTAAAAACGAGTTTACTACAGTTACAACTGCCAACAAAAATCTAATTACGTAGAAAAATGAAACTGAAAGTCACATTTTTTTAACATTAGTCTTATGGGTTGCTAAGTAACCATGTTGGAAGAATTAAATAACAAGGAAAAAGTAAACAAAAGACTTGTAAGTTAAAACATGTGTTCATAAAGGCATCTACCCACAGTATACTAGAAATTACAAAATACAGTACAAAAGCAAAAACATCAGTTGTTACTATTAAGCAAAGATTATGCTGAAGATTACTGGATACAATGTTTGTAGTAAAGGCTAGCAGTGCGGAGTGTAGGAAGCGTCTGCGGCAGTTGGATTAATGTATCTAAAATACTCAAATGCTACGGTTAGATTCCCCATCCTTATGGAACAGCTGAAGCCAATTTTATTGGTAGTTCTGTCCGGTTTTCTGTAGATGTCGTTTTTGTCTACAATCTGTTTCTATTATTTTAGGGTTAGTTTCTCATTATTTGTGTCTCACTGTTTGGTTATATAGCTAATGGACGAGTTATTGTTTATGATTAGATAGTTTTATTTGGTTAAACTAGGGTTTAAATTACTGAAATAACAAGAAACAAATTGTAAACCAAACACGACATCTACAGAAAACCGGGCGGATCTAACAATAAAATTGGCTTCAGCTGTTCCATAAGGATGGGAAATCTACTAAGGGACTATGTTTTATCATGTTCTATCCATGCTTAAATCCTAAGAAAAGGGTAAAATATTTATGTAGTATGAAATTATGGACCTATGTCAATTATTGTATGAGCTTTATGCAAGCACATACTTTGGTAACTATATATCTCAACTCTAGAACGGTAAAAAGTGTATTACTATATCACTAGCTCGAAAAAAGTCGAATATATTTTATTCTTATTGTGGCCAACTTTGTTTAAAATCTAGAGTCGACTCAATCCGATTGGATTGTATTATGTCATTATGCATTATGGCAAAACTAATACTGAAATAAATAATTACAAAACTAATACTGAAATAAAAATTTTGCATTATGCACATGTGGTTAAAAGTCACATGTTTGTGATTAACGTATCAACAATAGAGTTTTGTTTGTAAACATCTTGCCTCAAAAAATTCGTTACTAGATGGAAATGTACTCAACAAAAAATCTGAAATCATGAAAAGAGGACGACCACCAAATAGAAGTTTGAAGAAGTTGGGGAATTTCTTTAAAAGTCACAAAGCTGATGAAGACCAGGTAAGTTATAAAATATATACCTTTATTAATTTAATTACATACATTAAATCCGTGTGGTATGTCATTACTAGCTTACACCACGAATACAGAAATTGGAATAGAGTTGCTTATTTTATATTTCTCTATAGTTCATTGTGTGAGGTACATTAAAAAGTTAGATGACAATTTACAATTTTGTGAACATCATTACATTGAAATAGTTATATTTTGTTTAGGATGGATTAAAACAATTCTATAAAGGTAGGATAACTAAGGAATAAACTTATTTGTTTAATTAAAAAATTTGAATTCTTAACTTTTGTCCAATTTACTGGTCATTATGGTTAAATAAATATAATGATGTCAGTTTCTCTAATAAATTTTAGTAGTTAGGCAAGCTCATGAGGAGTTTAAGGTAAGTTTTCAATACTTCAAAACCTGTAGATAAGAATGGTTTTGTATGAGCTAGCATCCAATTATAAATTTGTAAAATCTAATATCATTCAGGAATTTGTTCTATTGAAATAGCAAGAGTGTTTCAAGCAGAAAGTTTGTGCCTTTTTCACCCAAACAATAGAGAAGCAGGCTGTAAGTTGAATGTGACATGGTGGGGAGACCGTCTTGAGCATTGTCCTACACACAAATATCTTAGTGTAGTGTAGTCTTACTTCGGTCCAAAAAGAGCTTCATATCACGGACACGAGTTCTGGATGGATCACACTCAGAGCAATCGGATGGAAAGGTGGGAGGCCAACCCTCCCATACCAGCCAGGGAGGAACTGGCTCCTGGTGGATGCCTTCATTACACGGTGTGGAAGACTCAAGACCGAATCAGGGTCGAGGTACCAAAATGCAAGACAAACATGCAGAAATGGGTCTCTTACAAGACGAAGAAAACGTCTGGTGCGTGTGGTGTTGTTCAGGATCCCGGCCATGTACTGATGTCCATGCCTAGACCACATTAGATTACCTTTTACAAGCGAATGACAAAGCCATATCGGTAGCTAATTTCTGGAAAAGCGAAGTCTGATTTCCGGACACGGAAAGTAAGTAAGTAGCATTGTGGAGGAAGAGGTAGGCTATAGGGTTGGTTACCATTTTTTACGACCTTTAGAAAGGAGCTTAAATTTTCTTTCTTTGATCAAACATTTTTTTTTTATTTCAGGCTGCAAAAGAACCTGATCCTGAAGGACCTGAGGGGTCTGGTGTATGTGTCTTAGAAGTTCAATCTGAACAAAATGTGAGTCTTTATTATCATCTCAACCGTATTATTAATGTAAAATTATTCAAAAGTATTAATTTATTTAGTTTATAAATATTATTTTGTGATAAATTAATAATACAGTACCAATAACTAATAAAGTAGATAAGTAATCAGTCACCAATTTTACGATCTTTGAAAAATAGCTTACACTTAGATACAATTAAAATTACCTTTCAACAAGCATAAAAGACAAATATTTAAATTTCAGGTCACAAATGGAGTGCGCATGTTACCAGATCAATCAGATGAAAATGTGAGTATGAGTAACTATACCTAAACCGCATTGCCACAGTAGGCTAAATAATTTTAAAAAGTTGAACCATTCTTTTTGTGGTTAATTCATATTTGAAATTACATTTAATGTACTGTAGAAAAGTATGAGTTTGGTTCAAACAGAAAATTTAAAAAAAATATTCTAATCACGCAAAAAAATCTGTCATTATTGTTATTGTATGCGGTTAAAAATTGCATTACTCGATTTTTGGACAGTGTAAATGCCTTATGTACCTAAAGACCGGAATAGAAAAGATAACTTTTGCAAAAAGTAACCATTAATGGTGGATATAGGTTAGAGGATCATCATATATTTTCATGAGTCTTTACTGTTGCTAGTAAACAAATAGACCTACTGGTATTGTTTGTTGAAGTTGTTATACATTTATTTTTATTTTCCATTATGATAAATTATTATTCTTATTCTGGTATTGGAGTATGCCAAGAGTAAGTATAACGCAACAAGTGTAGATAGGAATATATTCTAAAATTGGCCAGGTGATGCTTCAATTTTTACTCTCAGTAGACTAGGATACAAATGTTGCAGTATTACAAATTAACACAACCTTAATACAGATTTTTTATTTGTACAGCTGATGACTTCCAACAAACCCATTAGATGTGCAAAGATAAGGGCTCTGGAGATAATTTCTGATGTAAGTGCTCAAATAAGTCAATCTATGGTGGAAGAAAAGGTAAATTATTTTGAGCAAAGAAGAATGTCAGAAGACAGCCAGGCTCGTGCCACTCGCCTTGAGGAACAGCGACAAAGAGACGCCAACCGCAGGGCTTCCGAGGAGGAGGAGAATCGAGCACGACGCCTCGAAGAACAGCGGCAAAGAGACGTCAACCGCAGGGCTGCCGAGGAGGAGGACATGCGAGCACGACGCCTCGAAGAACAGCGGCAAAGAGACGTCAACCGCAGGGCTGCCGAGGAGGAGGACAAGCGAGCACGACGCCTTGAAGAACTGCGGCAAGCAGCCGCTATCCGCAGAGCCGCCGAGGACGAAGACGAGCATGTTCGACGTCTTGAAGAACTGCGGCAAGCAGCCGCTATCCGCAGAGCCGCCGAAGAAGAAGACGAGCGTGTTCGACGGCTTGAAGAACTGCGGCAAGCAGCCGCTATCCGCAGAGCCACCGAGGACGATGACGAGCGTGTTCGACGTCTTGAAGAACAGAGGCAAAGAGATGCCAACCGCAGGGATGCTGAAGTGGTAGACGAGCATGCTCAACGCCTGCGAGAACAGCGTCGTCGTACAGCTGAAATACGACAGAATTCTGAGCGTAACCAACTTCAATCCTATAAAGCCGCTGCCTCAAGCCTCGT